CAAATGTCAGTCAGAAAATTATATCTGTAATTTAAATTGAGCTTGCTTTTCTTCATCCTCCTTTTAGCTACCCCTTACAAATACCTTTGCAGCAAAATAAAAGCCTGAAAGTAGGAAACTAACCCAGGTGCTGATAATATTATTTCATGGACCTCCATGATGGAACTACTACACTAATTCCAAACCACTAAGCAATTTATTGGCTTACATATGTGGCAAATGCCTTCAATAATTTCATCACACCCCTTATTTTTTAAAGTTTATATTGATACAGAATTCCATGAAAACAAACCCTACCAACAGGAAACACGTGAAGATAGGGTGTCATTTTAAATCTGAGGCAAACAAAATAGAAAAATACACCTCAATTACAGACAGGGAAATGAGGTGAGACAACATTTCTGTTTTCCTGGTGAGGAGAAACTCTTTCTCTAACATGAGATCATCAGAACAATTTTGAGTGGAGCTAGCTGAACAATATACACCAGGTATCATCTTTTCACACACCAGAAGTAATGAAGTGGCTCCTGCGCCATCACAGAGATGYCTTACCAGTCATGTCATACTACGTAGTCTACATACACAGAGATCTTGCCTCAACACCATTAAAAACAAAATACAAAAAAAAAGGTTTGAAAGAGGAAGAATAATTAAAATGGTAACACACCATCATATAAGAGTGAGAAGAGACCTAAAACAAACTCTGCACAGGCTAATGAAGTGTCTCCATAGGAAAAATACCACCTGGACAAATGGGCTTCACCTAACACTATATTCATTCYCCTCTAAGGATGAAGCTCATGGTCAGATGGACAACTCAAAGCACCTTGAGCAAAGAAACACAAGTCCATCTACTGAATAAATTTAATTTTGGACYAAACCATAAAAAACAGTTCAAACTGGGAAGATAGGCAGGGGGAAAAGKACAGGTGACAGACTAGTCACTGGTTTTAGTTGTCTTTTTTAAAAACAATACTACCATTAAATCATCAATCTTTTCTTCACAGATGATAGACCTTTTTTCTTTACACTATTTCTCCTTCATAACACTGTTATTTCTGAAGTAATTAACTACTGTCATCTTTATGATATGACCTTTGAGACTACCAAGGTACATTCAACGAAAGATTTTCATTAGAACAGAGGTTCCACATATTTGGATTGAAGTTCCACATTTTGTTAACAACAACCCCAAGACTATAACTCCACAGAAGTGTAAGGCAATGGGAAGTTGATGCTTTGCCACTCCATAATAAACTCTACTGACAAGTCATTGCTACAAACTTAACACACCACAAAGAAGGAAAAGAAAACAAAATCCTTTTGTTCCATGTTCTTTTCCACTAAAACTCCAACAGTTCCATATAGTGCAAGGTTTCCCACCATCATTCAGATCACATCTCATTAACTCAACGGATATAAGACTGCAGCTGATAGATGAGGCTCAACTTCATTCTCATTACCTTTTCAGGGCACAGTCATATAATCTAAATCAAGAAATCCTGTCAGAATGCTGCAGCATTACAATATGTTTTATTACATTCAGTAGATTTTTGGTAGGTGATGCATTTCATCATTTCTAGGTGGTCACCACGATGACCATGAGCTAGCAATGTGCCCTTGCTCCAAAGGCCAATGCTACCCTGGGGTGCTTTAGTTAAAAGCATTGCCAGCAGCCTGAGGGAGGTGATCCTGCCCTGGTGGGGCCACACCTGAAGTGCTATGCTCAGTTCTGTGCTCCTTAACATGGACATGGTGGAGAGAGTCCAGTACGGGCCACAAAGATGAATAAGGGACATGAGCCTCTCTACGAGGAAAGGCTGAGACAGCTGGGACTGTTCAGCCTATGATATGGAAAAGGTGCCAAGATGATGGAGACAGGTGCTGTCCCATGCCAGGGCCAGAGGCAATGAACACAAACGAAAAAGCAAGAGGTTCCAGCCAAACATCAGGACACACCTTTTCACCCTGAGGGTAAATGAACACTGGCACARGTTGCCCAGGGAGGCTGGGGAGTCTCCATTTTTGGTGATACTCAAAATCACCTGAACATTGTTCTGGGCAACTGTCCTTGGAGGGGCCCTGTTTCAGCAACAGGGTTGGACCCAACAACTGCCAAAGGTTCCTTCCAACCTCAACCCTTCTGTGGCTTGCTCAGTGAGAGAAATATACCCGGAACAGACCCCAGCAGTGTATTGAAATATTTCTGTCACCGCTTCTGGCATATCAACACCATCTGGAAACATGGAAACGCACCTCAGCTCCTCTCTCACCCAGCTTAGCAGCTGACACTGAAGCTTAAGATTCATCCAGTGTTTGGGGTTTTGTTTTGTTTTACTACCACCTAGCAAATATGTTCCATGTCCTTTAACAGGTCATATGGTGGGAACACAATTATCAAAATAAGAAAGGATGCTGAGAATTGAATTTAGGGATAAAAAAGCCCTAGCAATAGAGACTCTTTAACCCATGCTAACTAAAAGTCCTAAATACAGGATTTCTCACTGCATTAAAAGAAAACAAACATATATGTACATATTCTGTGCATTTTCAATCAGCCAGCCAACTTTTTCCAGAAAAAGCGTTACAGCTGTACTATTCAGCAAGCTTCCAACGTACAAAGGGACAACGCCATCAGAGGTGTCTCCTCAAACAAAGTAACTAGACCGAGCATCAATTCCTAAGCTTAYGCCTCATTTCCAAGTCTGCAGAAAACGCTGTATCACCCGATATCAAGGCTGAACGCCTGAAATCCACGGCTCCACGAGCCTGCTGAGAACAAAGTCCGCCGGCAGCATCCCCGGAGGCCGTGGCAGCGGCGGCCGGCTCCCTGCGGCGGAGGGGTAGCGATGACRTCATGCCAGGCTGGGCTCCGGCAGCCCTGGCGCAGGAAAGCCCTGGAGGGACCCGCCGTGCCCGGCTTCAGCCCTGCTCCACATCCCGCACCCACCGGCTCGAGGGCCAGCGCCTCGCTCCCAACAATGGGCACTTATGAAGAGAATTGTTTCAACAGTACGAGGATTCAGAAGCTATTTTGCAGCGCAGAAATCAGAATGGGGGGGGGGGGGGGGGGGGCAACCAGCGCACAATGACCCTTTCAGTCAAACAAGAAAGGCTTCCAGGAAGTACAAAGTGTTTCCAAGCTTTATCCAAAACCCACTGAAATCAACAGAGGCTCTCTCCATTTTTATCAGTGGACACTGGAGGAGGCTCTAACCTAAGACACAGTTTGAAAGCATGATCAGTCACACTACCATGCATTATTAATAACACAACAAACTCAAGAAAACATACCTGAATTCCACCCAGCCCYTATGCTGTGACATTACCACAAATTTCCCCATCTTCTTTTAATATATTTTCTTAAATCACGTAAAAATCTGTCTCACCCCTAAATACCAAAAACTCTTCTCCCCTCAACCTCACACCTTGTCACAAGTAACACCATTACAGAATGCTGGTGGAATAGCAGAGACCAGGATGTATCACACACTAGTTTTCCATACTATAGATGCAGTCCTTGACTGGGAAAGCAAATACAGAAAGAATATTATGCTCCAGCTTTCAGACCTGCACACTCCGACAGAATATTTCTGTTATCTTCCAGTTTACTGGAAGATAGCTAGCCTAAAGTAATGCACTGCTGCATTATGTGAGGAGAATTATTCACGTGCCTATCAAGAACAGGGAGCATTACTGTGTGCTTCACACCACATTACACAAATAGATAATAAATGAATAACAAAATTAACATCTTGTTAATTGCTTTCGATCTATAAACGTTGTTCATTTGTCATTTAAACAAAAAAGTCCTCACTTATCTCTCAATGAAATTGCACTGCATTTTGTTCTCTTAGATTTCTTAAATCAAATTGATACAGAGCACAGTTATGCTGTACTCACTCTTTAAGTCTCAAACTGTAGCCTACAGTCATTTTAACATCAGACAAGCAAGAATTCTCTCAGGATGACAGACGGATGAGAAATTTTGATTGAAGTCATTAAATGAAAAAAAAAGTTTCTATAATAGCCAAAGTTTAAAAGAGCTCAGTGTTTGAAGTCAGTTCTAATAACACAAATACGACTCTACAAAAACAAGCATTTATTTAGTGAAGGACAGCTTAAATGCAATGATGTTTAAAAGACCACATGACACGTAATAAAAGCAAGCTAATAAAAAAAAACAGAGGTTGGGGGAGAGAGAATGTATTATCTGGTCAGGTTCAGAGCCCAAATACGCAAAATCAGTASTGTTAGGTCAGGTTTTCACCACCACATTCCTTCACCTTTCTGAGCAGTTAGAGATGCTAGGCAAAACTCTAATTTAACTGAGGCCAATACAATGAGACTAAAGCTGAAGTGAGGTGCTGCTAAAACACTGAACTGATTTTTAACCTTTAGAGCACTGGTTTGACACAGTAGTATGGTCTAGACTGACATGGTTTAGCCATGCATTTGGTGTGAACATTCTCACCTAAACAGCAGAGTAATCACTTCCTAATCCGATTTCTTTTCGGATACTGCAGCAAGAGAATTCTCACCTGTGCTACAAAAAAAAAGGTAATACAGAGCACTCAAATGGTCTTCGCTTTCTCTCCCAATTCCGACGCCTTAAAATTGCCTGTGTCTATTAAACACCTGGCTAAAGTTGATATACGCAGCCCGGTTCGGAGGAGAGCGCAGGACATCGCCGCTGAGGCTGAGACGAACTAAAGCGATGCCACCGCACAAGCCGCGCTCTGCCCAGCCCGTCTCATGGCGCTAACTCTGCCGGGGGTTTGGGGAGTTCGGTCACTTGTACCGACCCCGCTCCGTGCCCAACCGGGCATTCCCGCTTGCCCGGGGAGCCGCAGCGCCCGCGGCTCCCGGCAGGGCACAGGCTCCCCCCGCAGCGCCCGGGGCGGCGGAGTGGGGAGGCAGCGGAACGGGGAGGCAGCGGCGCGTGGAGACAGAGCGGCCGGAYCCCGCCGTCCCCGCGCCGAGCGCCGCCGGCCACTCACCGGAGAGCTCGTCCGGCTCCAGCCCGGTCTCGGTGTCCAGCCCGCAGATGACGAAGTAGTCGGCGAAGCGGCCGGGTGCCGAGGAGCCACCGCCGCTCATGCTGCAGGGCGGGGGGCGCAAGGGGCGCGCGGGGCTCAGCGGGAGCGGGGCCGGCCGGCGCCGGGAGCGAGGCCGGGATTTCCGACTGCGCCCGCCGCCTCCATGGCGGCGCGGGGCGGGCGGCGCCGCGCGGCATTCTGGGAACAGCCCCCGCCGCTCACGGTGGAGGGGGGGGGTAGACCCGGCCGCGCGCCGCAACGCCGCGCCTGCGCCCTGTGCGCGGGGTGACGTCATGCTGCTGCTGGGGGTGCTGCTTGCGCCGGGGCTGCCTCAGCGGGCGGCTGTGGCGGGCCCTTATGGCCGTGCTCTGAGGGAGCCGCGGGAAGGGCTGTGCACCCTCCGCAGACACAGAATGACACCGTGGGGCAGGCTGGAAGGGACCAGAGCGGGTCGTCTGATCCCACCTCCCTGCTCAAGTAGAGTCGTTCCAGAGCACAGGATACAGGACACGGGATTGCGTCCACACCGTTCTTGAATGTCTCCAGTGAGAGGGACGCCACACCGTGTCTGGGCAGCCTGTTCAGTGCTCGGTCACTGCACAGTAAAGAGGTTTTTCCTCTCATTCAGCTGGAGCTTCCTGTTCCCGTTGCCTGTTGTCCTTTTGCTTGGCACCACCGAGCCGAGCCTGATGCACCCTCTTATCACCTCCACTTTAGACATTTACAGGCGTTGATAAGGTCCCCTCCCAGTCCTCTTTTCTCAAGGCTAAACAGAATCACAGAACCAATTAGGTTGGAAGAGACCTCGGAGATGGAGTCCAACCTGTTGTGTTGAGGCCCAGTTCCCTCAGGCTCTCCTCCCGGGAAAGATGCTCCAGTCCCTTAAACAATTTTGTAGCCTCCCTTGTACTGAGGAGCCCAGAACTGGGCACAGTCAGAGGCCAGGAAGGCATTGACCAGGGCGTCTCACTCAGGGCACGGATTAGTCTGGTGGTGCTCTGAAAACACCTTTGAACTTACATTCTTCTGTGACCTTCAGTTTCCCATCCCCACAGCCCCCTAGCTGTCTTGACTCCACAGCTTTCTGAAACACCCGTGTGTGCAGAGAAATTCTTTAGGGCTTGTTCGGCTTTCAGATTGTTTTCTTTTTCCTATTTGGATTAACATCATACACATCACTGTTAACAGCTGGGTTTGCACAGAGTGAAATCCACGCCCCCCCCGGCTCAGCGTGGAAACGAGAACAACCCCTGGGGAAGGWTGACTCGAACTGAGCTGCTGAGGGACAAGTGACACGTACCCATGCTCTGCCTTGAGTGTTTTTTCCTCTGGCTATAGAGAGGCCACCTGGGATGGCCTTGCGAGCTTAAATTTGGGCTGTAAGCAGTTCTTCTTCCTCTCCTCTCTTAGTTCTCCATCTGTGGCATTTACATCAGAATTTTCCCCTACCTTGTAGGGCTTATAATAGGAGAAATTAAAACTTTTCAGTCTTTGATGTTTATTAACTAGGACTAACCATAAGATTGCATCCATAATGCTGAATTGATCAGACACCAATGTAATTTAACACGCTAGCAAGCATAGGAAACCTCACTTAAATAAGAGTTCCCATTGCCAAGACAGACCAAGTTCTCTTCAGGGCCTGCAAACAGCAGTACATGTAAGACTTCGCTGCCAATGGTCTACAGCCTTTTGCAGCACAACAACTAAACTTTTAGGCCACTGTGATCAAGTTGTGGGCAGCTGGACATCCTTCTGAGAGCCAGGAAAAACTGTTTGGATAGCACTAGTGCTATCAGTGTTCACTTGATTAAGCCTCTATGGGCTGCAGAATGGGTTATCAATTAATTAAAGTGTTGCTTAGATTTGACTGAGTGGTCAGTTCTAAAGCACTATTTAACTTGAGGCAAAGATTTCAATAAAGATGTCAGGGTAGGTAGGAGCAATATTAGAGTGAAAGGCTTGAGCTTACTCTATAAAAAGCACAGTTAGATTGTGTTGAGGCTGCCTGGTGGTGTGTGGAAGACACAACAGAGAACAGAAATAGCTAAATCTGGTTGCTCTTACTCTGCTGTGTTCTCTAGCCATTTTTTTCACATTTGTCTTCTCAATCTGTTTTCAGTGTGGCAAAGGACAATGTATTCAGTACGTGGTGAACCTCTTTTGAGTAAGCCTGAACTGCAGTTTAACCCTTATGACAAAAGCCATAGCCTGAAGGTCTCTTCTGACACTTGTAAGAAAGTCTAGAGGGAAACAGCACAGGTATTGGCAGGGGCTTTTTGTCAAATAAAGAGGAAAATGGGGAAATAAACATTGTTCTTGCACCCTAACTGTTCCAGAAATAACCATGAATTTTGTCAATATTCAGTAAATACAGTTTGATGGGCCAGTAAGTAAACAGAGGTTTACCAGCAATGCTGTTGAGCAGCAATATTTAAATGCACACATGCCTTGCTATGCTATGCGACTGKTAAGGAGTAAGAGACAAGGAATATTTTTTTTAAAAGAAGAGTGTCAGACTAAGAAACTCAGATTTTTTTTTTAATTCCTCCAAGAAAGGAACAGTATGGGTGGAACCAACAAAATGTTAACCCAAATTTTTGCTGAGAAAAGCTCATTCATACTTTGTCAGATAAATTCTCTGCATTCCCAGCCAACTTACAGCCTACTCCCTCTTAAATCTATGCATCCAGCAATGTACTCGAACAGTTAGAGCTTTCCCCTCCCGTTTTGTCCATCACCATCTCTTTTCCATAGTATATTTTTCCTCCCAGTTATTTAATTTCTGAAATACTGTTGCCTAGTGACCACAAAGAACATCGGTGACATCAAACTCAAAGGCCAGTAGATTTAATCAGTCCGTCTTCTTGACTAATGTTCCCATCACAGGAAACACCCATACTGCCAAAATTTGGCAATTCTGTTGGGAAACTGCAAATGGCTTAGATGTCCTTGAGTAAAACAACGACACTCTAGACTACATTATGAATTCTTAAAAGTATTCTTTATGATTTTGAGAAAATCTGGAATTGTGAATTCTGTGGAAACTAGGATTCTTTAGCCAGAGAATCATAAAGACATGTTAGTAAATAGGAAGTGATTTAAGAGGTTCAAAACAAAAGATTCAAACCCAAAAGATTGTTTTTTGCAAGACTATCAATGTTGATTCAGCTGCTGTTTTCTATGGCAAAGACCTGTATAGTTAAGTCAAAGGGAATGAAGTCTTTAAATAGTGAAGCACTTGTGAAGATGTTTTGAGTATCCCTCATGCTACTTAATTCAGATATACTTTGCCAGCAGTCCCAGTCCTGGTTATTGGAAGAATTTATTTACTAAGCAATAACAAACCACAACAGCAAATTACAGTTCCATTCAACATTGCTCATAGACTTGAAGAAGGCTGAAACAGGGTATCTCCTTTTTTTCTGGGCAGCTCTTTGCCAAGATGAGCTAAGCTTTGAAAGGTAACAGAGCTCAAAGCACAAACTGCTCCAGTTGTCAGGGTGTTGATTATATAAGGTGTCTTCTAATGACTCTGGTTAATATATTTACCCTGGCTTGTTTAAGAAAACAAAAAGCCAATCAGTGACTCTTTAAAGCAATCCTCTCCAGTCTGAAAAACCAGACACTTGAATCTGGCTGCAACTGCTCATTGACCATGAATTTGGTGTAAGTGACATCCACACAACAGACTTGTGGAATACAGCCTGCACACCAGATCACCCAACACAGATCCTCACGGATCAAGGCACAGATCAGAGCAGAACTGACACTTCAGGGCATGGAACATTTCCTGAACTCCCATGCAACATTGTCCCTCCTCTCCCCAGCTCCAGGGGCCCATGCTATTGACCGATACTCAATTTACCAACAGCTAGGATCCCCAGGTCCCTTTCAACAGTGCTGCTCTCCAGCATCTCATTCCCCACTCTGTCCATACATCCTGCTCCATACCAAGGTGCAGAATCCAGCACTTTATTTAACTTCGTCGAGTTCGTGATTGCCCAGCCCTTGCTGTAGTCTCTCTGCAGGGCCTCTGCCCTCGAGGGAATCAACAGCTCCTCCCAATTTAGCATCATCAGCAAACTTGATCCAGTCCTGCACCCAGGACATTAATGAAGATGTTGATGAGAACTGGTCTGAGGATGGAGCCCTGTGGAACTCTATTAGTGACAGGACCCACTAGTGATGTCACCCCATTCACTACAACCCTTTGTGGCCAACCCATGGGTCAGTTACTCACCTACCACATGATGCGTTTACCCAGCCAAGTGCTGGACATTTCGTCCAGAGAGATATTGTGAGAGACAGTATCAAAAGCTTTACTGAATCTTCTCCATAATTTTATCAGGCACTGACAGGCCTCCAGTTTGCATGGTCATCCTTCTTGAAAACTGGGATAATTGTTGCCAGCTTCCAGTAAACTGGGACCTCTTCCAGATTCCCAAGATTCAGAAATCATTGAGAGAGGTCTCGTGATAACACCAGCCAGCTCTTTCAGTACTCTTGAATGAATCCCATCAGGCCCCATAGACTTAATGGGGTCCAACTGGAGAAGCAAATCCTGCACAAATTCAGGGTTGACTAAGARTTTATCATTCTCACAGTCATGAGAAATCTGTTTAGCACCGAACAAATAATCAAACATAGAATGATTTAGTGATGCACTCAGAATACTTCTTCATGACATGGAAATCCTCCAAGCACAGTAAACATTGCAAATTCCAGGTTTTGGATAAAGCTGTTCAGGGCTAGGTTGCAAAAGAAAAATTAGGAGTTACGAGTGTAACATTAGATCTCATTTCTGAGACAGAATTTTGTAACTATTTCCCACTGCAGCATTCCCAGCCCTCTTGAGGGCCTACCAACCTTCTAAGGCTATGAGGAGACCATGGAGGTCCCACAGCTGCACAGCAGCAGAATTCTCTGCTCGGAAGACTACCTATAGAAAGGAGCTTTTACGAGGCTTCTCACAGATACACCAGTCACTGATTTAGCACTCATAATCCAGACCCAGATTTGTCCTTGTGCACTATAAAACAAGAAAACTGGAATTATCACACTAGGTGGAGTATTTTTAAGAACTGGGAGTTACAGTATGTTAGTAAACATATTATGCCATTATTTATATTAATTGCCAGTACTAAAAGGCTGTAACTTCTTCCAGTTTGGGTGACCTGGAGCTATAAAGCCACCAGCTGTGAGTTATAAATGTCTGTCATTGCAAGACATCAATTGGTCATAAAAATAGTTGGAGTATTCACTTCTCTTTGATGGGAACTTTGAAAGACGCACTTTGGATCCTGCTTTCCCATCAAAATGTTTTTTCATTTCCATCTTAATACTGCCATACTAAACTATAGGGTTCCCAAACCCCACACTATAACAGAAGGAAACTACACATGATGAAAATTCTCAGAAGCAACAAAAATCTTCAGCTGCCTAAAATCAAAAAACATGTTTTGACTTTGCATAACAGCATTGTTCACTAACAGAAGCTTCTCATATTTAACTTTTTCTTCTGTCTTACCCTTTCAGCAAGTTTTCTATACTAGGCAAAAAAGCATTTAATAAACTGGACTTGACAGAATATTAAGGGAAGGTGAATAAAGCTGAAATAACTTTGGCACAAAGGCCCTCTACAAGGGATTAATGGGGAATAAAAAGAGGCACTTTATGAAAATATTTAGGCCCAGTTGCCTTCCAGTGCAAACCAGAAAATTACTGCTGTACATGAAAAATTAATTTCAGAGATAAAAGGAAGTCAAGTTTACCTACTTATTTTGAAATAAAAGTAGAAACAGAATCCCATCTACAGATATCCTCAACTCAGTTTCATTTTTAATCAATTATTCAAAATACCATTCAGGAAGAACTCACCTCTTTTAAACAGATTAATAAAATATTAGGCTTAGTGGGAAGTTCAGCATCCTTCATTATACTCAAAAAAGACAGTGTTTTGTATTTTATATAACAGCTTTATTATCAAGTGGCAAGAGACACTTAGTAATGATGTCATGCAGGTATCACAAAAAAAAAAATCCCAGATTAACAGTTTACCTAACAGCTCAAAATCCTTTGCAATTAAAAAACAAAGCTACATCTTTCTGATGTCTAAGTTCATTTCATGGTAGCCACTATTTTTCTGTGAGAATATTATGGCTATCTCTTGGATCACTTGCTGGATTCCCTGAAGGAAAGAGTAGGCTAGTAAAGTACTCCACAGCACAGTGCTTTTTTTTTTCACAAGGCCTGCCTTGCTCTTCACAACCCTCAGAAGTCCTCATGGGGATAGGAAACCTCCTCAGACTACTGGCAGCTAAAGATAAACACAGAAGGAATGGGTAAAAAAAAAAAAAAAAAAAAAAAAAAAAAAAAAAAAAAAAAAAAAAAAAAAAAAAAAAAAAGCTAAGGTTTTGAAAAAGTAAATAACACTATTTTGAACCTTTTTAAAGTCTTAAGGCTTTTAGTCACTTGTGGCTGAGACACAGTAGGTTTTCAGTAACAAAGCCAATCCTACCTCCATAGTAAAACAGAACTCAGTAAAAATGTCACATGATAGCACAATTCACATTAGACTGAAAGATAATTCAGTTCCTTCTTTAGTGACAAGGTTCCACCGAAACACTGGCTTTCCACAGCACTGGAGAGATTTTACAAGAACTTCTGTTATTGACCAGCAGTTGAGACAAATTTTGACAAAAGCTATTGGAAAATAAGTAGTAAGTAATTTATTTTGAGAGTTCATCTGCATGAAAAGTTAACTCTGCAAAAAAAGTAGGCTGTAAATCTACAGCAGCTTCACACTCAGTAGAGTCCAGGGGACACTTGCTTACATAGCTCAATTCACATCCAAGTTTACTGTGGAATAAATGCCATGGGTAGAGGAGCTCTGGAGATTAGAACAGCAGCAATAAAAGTAATCACTGTTCAGTTTCAAATGACAAAGTACACTTTTAGAGTAAATTCTAAATAACAAAAGAATTGCTGAAGCTGAGTGATGTTACAATGAACTTGCAAACAGAACTGATATAAATTCTTTTATATACTTATGTCAAAAATATCATTTACTGTGCAGCCTGAATTTAAATAAAAGACAAATGGTGTATCAATAATATTTACTATATATTTACATATAATACTGCRATGAAATGAAGCAGTCAACATTATGTTACAAAAATGAATAAACCCTTTAAAGGTACCAGTACCTTTCACATTATCACATTCATGAGCTGTTCTCTTACATCTCAAAGATCTATGATATGATCATGAGTTGACACAAGGACACAGACAAATAAACCCTGGAACTGGAGCACATGCTGATGTGTTGATTCCATTTTCAGCAAGATACTCAAGGGGCATCAGTTTAAGCCACATGAGCAGCACTGCTTTCAGTAGGATAAAACTCAAATGTGCTCCCAGTTCCTTACTGCTCAGGGCTTTGTTTTATGGGGTTCCACTGATGACGCAACAAACTACCACAGTTGGAAGCACAAGGGGAGGTACCATGTACCTTACTGAGAGAATACAGGGACTTCTACTGAAGGTGAGTCATGGCTGGTTGCCCACTGCCAGTCACAGACTTAGCAGACAACAGAACCCCATTTTTATATACACTAACACAAGAGCCTGCTGTTCCATGGTGCTTTGAACATTTTTTGGGATCAGCTGTTTGATAGGAACTGCACCAGTTTGTGTACCTGACATTTCTTTCAGCTAATCAAGCTGCAATGAAAGACTTTATACTCTTTACATATTGCTTGAAAAATGGCAATATTACACTGCTTAAGCATTTTTAAATCACTTGAGATCTGCAAGTTTTATATAACCATACGATCACTTTCTTAAGATGGCAGGATAAATCTATGCAAGTGAAATATTGGCAAAATAATCAACATTGAAAAAAAAAAAAGAAAATTAGAACTTAAAAACCATCAGCTAGCCAAGATAAGAATTCTAAGCTGCTCCCTCCCTTCCTATATCCTCTCTCAGAATAAAACTTTACAAGGGCCAAGAGGGAACAATCTGACACTTTGCCTTTGTTAATCCAGTAAGTAAAGCAGATGGAGGTTCAAGTATTTAATTCAACACAGCACTAATAAATAGAAGTAAACAACCTGGATGAGAATAACATTGRAGTTAAAGTACTGCACAGAACCTTTGTTTCTGAGTGAGCACCTTTATATTATTTTGAAACTCCCCAAGGCAAAAATTAAGGGAAATATTGTTAGTGAAAAATACACTCAGATCAGATCACGTCCAAACCTACACAAACGTTAAAAAGTTGGACTGAATAATCCAGGGTTTTTTCCTGCAAGTGTTAGAAAGCATCACCTGTAGTTTATGTCTACATTACAATTTTTGCTCTGCATGTAACCAGAGCAAAATGTTACATCTATGTTCTCCCTTCCATTATCCTGAGAGCCACACACATCCTCCCAAAGTAAAACATTGGTGGTTTGATTACAAAACAATATGCAGTACATTTCTGAACACATTTCCTTTAGTTTAAGGCCATGTGTTCATTAAAAGACATTCTTACCACTTACAAGCCTCCTCTTTAATTGTTTAAGATCCAATAGAAAAGCAAATATACAAATATCAGAAGTGCTGATCCTGAGATGAAGTATGGGAAACTCTGGTCCAGTTTGATCCTTATTCAAACTTCTGTTTCAGTTTCTTCTGGAAGAGAGCTGGCAGGATGGACAGGATGGCTAGAATCATGAGAACAAAAACAGAGTTCCAGGAAACAGCTTCCCCTGCTGTTGTAAGCTGGTACAGCGTTGTTCCTGCCTTAATGGCTACAAAAGAAGGTGGTGCTACACCTGGAGCAAGGAAAGTATGAAAAAACAGCTTGTTAGGGTGAAAAAAACCACAGTCCTACAAATTTTAACACTAAAATTTTGAGATTTTGTTGCCTTGTACTTTCTTTTTAAGAGGGCTGTAAAGACAGAATTCAAAGACAAAAAACTCTTACTAAAAGAATTAGTTTTACGCCATTCGTAGTATTTTTAAAGCAAACGCAMATACAGGAGACTAAGCAAATAATCTCTGCTCTTCAGACTGCAGATTCCAAGTTGTCTCTTTACAAATTGATTTAAGTTCATAAAGGAAAAATATTGGATTGCTTCCTAACAGATCATAAAGTATGTGCAAAAATATGCCAATTAAAAAAGCTATAGTAAAGACCACTTCTGGTCACCCCAAATTGTGGCGCACTAGCTGTAATTCTTACCTAGGAAAGTGCCAATGAAAAACACTTTCAATGGCACATTGATTACAGGAGATGTGATATTGATAAACCAGTTTGGAAGGAAAGGGGTTATTCTCAGAAATATTATGTAATTAATGAGATGTTCTCTGTGTCGTTCAACCTGCCAAAACAAAAACAAACAAAAATTTGCTTTAAAAATCCCTGCCTTGAAAATACACAACCATTTACTACCAGAGGTTTAAAGGGTGTTTTTTTTCTATCTTTTACATGTCGCAAACATAAAAATGAGTTAAAAATGCATGATGTGGGGAAGAATCCCCAGTGAATTACTCCAGTAAATAGTACTGGAATGAGTCTGGAAATAGCTGTGTGTGGCAGAGCAGTGCTGACATGTCTGACTCAGCCAACTCAAGCAGTAAACGAGTCATTAGGGAGAGGAGAAGGCCTTATTCTAACATTAGCACAGCAACTCTGCATAACAGCACCCTGATCAACACCCTGCAATCCCATTCCTAAAACTTTTGCAGGAACTAGCAACGATATCTGTTCCTCAACCCATTCTGTCCTAATTTGTGATCCAACTTGAAACACAGTTATATTCCTCTTGCAAACTCACCGCAGTCATGGCTCTGAAGTTCATTTCATCAGGTGGCTGCTCCCAGCACAGTTCCAAAACCTGACTCCCCCATAGGTTAGACTGCCCAGCATTGACATTCACCCAGGAGCAACAACAGCTTCAACTTCATTCACAGTCTTAATTACGTTCTCAGGTCTAGCCCAGCTTCTCACATATATGCTACAACAAAGCCTCTTCTCCTTCCAGCCTGTCTTTAGCACATCAGCCCTTTCAAACAACAAGTGTAATCTCAAGCCAAGCTACAATGATAGCAAACCATACACAGTTCTGACCTATCCTGGCAGATCTGATAGCACTGAGCTTAAGCCTCGAAGAGTTGAAAACAAACCTGGTCTGATTGCAATTCCACCTGAAATCTCACATGGCAGCTCACACCAGTCATAACCCTGGTTTTCAGCTTTAGCCCAGTTTAGCTTTAACTGCAACACCAAAATCAGGAGCATTGTGGGTTTTTTAAATCTTAACGAAGAATAAATATTTAAAATATTAATTAGTGCTGAATATAAAAAGGCTTAACCTCAATATGCAGGCATGATAAGCATGATACAGTCCCAATCAACCTGGAAACAGTGAGATATGAGCTGTACATGTAATTTAAAGTCACATGTTCATTTCTACTAATGGCAAGAGTAACCATTTGCTACTAAGAATAGCCTCAAAATTATAATGCAATATTAAGATTTACTTGGGTCAAGAGTCAAAATAGTACTGTATAATCTAACAAGGTCAATTGTTCTAGACACAGCTCCATATCTTATCTAATGAGGAACAAGTTTAAAGCATTTGTATGTGATTCAAAAAAATCTTGAACCATGTACATGTGCTTCATACTTGCAAAAATAATAAAAAATGGTTTGATTGTTTCAGGGTACCAAAAAAAGACAAACAGTGTCAAGTACAAATCACACTATGTTTTTGTACTGCAAAACTTTTAGGTTCATCTCACAAGGTTTTGCTGAAACTAATGTTACCAGATACTGTAAGAGAAAGTTTCTAAATGGTCCAACTACAGTAAGATCTTCAAATTAAGGTTTTTCAATCAGATGTACAGCTACAGGTTTCTCTGACACATGAACACAAATCCAGCTTTCATTAGTCCCGATGCTTAGAGACCAATTACTTGAAATTACCTGAAACCGGGGATGTTTTCTATTGACAATAAATAAACCAGGGGAGTGATCAGCTGTAAACACTTCCTAGGTAAGAACAACTTTCTCATGGGAAACATCACAAAATCAAGAACGCTTTCAGAATCTCTTCTTTATAAGTAGATACATGAGCACAAGACCTCCTAGTTTTCCATTGCTATTCCATGACACATTTTGTATTGTAAGTTCCAGCATCTCTAGAAACCTTACCTGTTCTGACCATTTTACTGCTTTTTCTGTTAAATATCTGTACACAACAGGACGCCCCACTAGGTATGAAAGCATATAGCAAAATGAAGCTCCAAGTCCTGAGCACTGAAAAAAACCAAATAGACAACAAATGAGCAAAAACTCTAATCAATGTCAGCCTATGAGCTACACTGCCTGGCTAGAGCCTGTTTCTATATGCAGCCCTCCATTAGGGCTCTCCTCCAGTATGTACATACTCCCAAAGAATGCTGTTGACCCAAGACAGTGTATTTCCAAGGCATTTAGATAAATCTTAACACTCAAAGTAGACAACATTGATTACCTACCAGTTAATATTGAGTGCTTCTGCAGTTTTAAGACTTTGAGCAGTGAAAGCTTCACAAATAAAGAGCACAATGCCATTAAAGAAATTCAAACGTGAAAACTGAACAGGGTCCTCCCTACTCTGTCAACACTAAGGCTCATTATGATTACATCTTTTGCCCGTGACATTTTAAAGCTTGTTGATAACATACATTTCAAATCTTAAACTAAGCTTCTCACATATTTAAGCCAGTTAAAACCAGATGTATTTTGCAGTGTGATAATAAAACTACAGTAATTGTGTTGTGAAATTACAACTGGGTTCTGGCAGATGCTAAACAAATTTAGAGTAAAAGAGACTGGCTGATTCACATTCGAATGTCTTCATTATTAAGAAAATCTAGAGAAACAGTTCAGTGTTTTGGATCATTACCCAGTGCTACAGTGAATTTTGTGGGTAATGCCATTCTTGCAGCAGAGCTGAGTAAGAACTTAATCGTTCATCACAAACCGAAATATATCCCAGTTTCATTCAGACTGATCAGTTTCAACAGGAAACTGCTCAGATGCTTGGTTGTATTCCAAACAGATAGAAATATATGCCCTCACAAACTACTTTCCATACTTACCAAACAAACAAGAAATAAGGCCAGTGGAAAGGGATAAAGAAACCCTGACAGGATACTGAGAAATATAGACCCAGGAATAGCAAATGTTTGCAAGCTGGATGCATCTTAGTTAAGGAAAAACACATTTTTAAAAAGCTACACTTCTTAATTTTATAAGCAGGAACATATAAGAATTAGAAAAAGGCAGGGCCTCTCAAGATTTTTACTTCAAAACACCTTTGTGGAGTTGCACAAGAAGCTCAAGCACAAAGCAAAAATATGTAGATTTGGCACCACACATACAATAAGTCACTAAGTAATAAATGCTGATTGCATTTTTCTCTATCTGTACTACAACTGACACAGAGGATTTATTGTGACTTCCTGGAAACATACTTCTGATTTTACATTGTTGAATAGAGATGTGCAATTTCAGATATGCTCTCTGGAAACTTCACAGGCCTGTCCAAGCCCATAACCACAAGTTTCATGAAAGACTGAAACGTATGAAGGCAGCTACTATTTCCCTACAAACAGCCACGGTGTAATCACTAACTACAACAGCTGATTACTAACTTCAGTCAGAAATTTTTTTGAAGTTTACAATTAGGTTTCTGCGGCACAAGTAAACAGCTTGTTGAGCTCAAGGCTCGCAAGGCCTACTTGGGACTGTGATGTATTGCCTACTTTGGATAGAAAAGTTATAAAGCAAAAAAACCCTGCACACTATTTTACCTGAGTTGAATTGACCTAAATATTAAAAAGTCCAGTAATCTTCCTGAGCCCATTACAGTAGTACAGCTTCTGTTCAGGAAGCGTCAAGGTTCAGAGGTAACTGTACCGTGCCTAGAAATGGATCACAGTCTACTGCTGAGACAGTAAATGTCGTCACATCAGCTGCTAGGGCAGCTCAATAAAGAGCCAATTTATTCTACTTCTTGTTAATATATAAACTAACATTTTTCTTCACAGATCTGTAATTTGTGAAATATGAAATGCATTTTGTGAAACACTTGAAAAGAATGAGCTGAAGGGTAATTATTAATGGCACATTCAAAGCTGACTCTCATGAGTTATGAAACTTGCTTTAAAACTGTGAAACAAATCCTCTTCCTCCTCTTAACCTTTAGTTAAGTGTTCCAGTTAAGGGTGTGTTTAATGATTAATTAATATATTCGCCATTCAGGAAAAAGAGATACAGAACACAGGTAGCCTTTGTGCCTCCCTAGAAAGTACTTCAGATATTAATCTCTCTCTAAAAGAAAACAGATTTGGTTTTGTGAATTTGGGAACAGCAGAGATAAAAGATGGCTCAAAATGCTGATATACAGTTAGATATTCTATAAATTACCTTATGTGATACTTTGAATGCCGCAAGGAAAAGCAGTGCAGTAGTCTCTGTTTTCCTTTAGAATGAAGAGTGATTTCTAACTGTAAATTCAGTTTCTTTAGAATGTTACCMTAACACTAAAGTGAGACCAAACCTAATAGACAGAGAAACATTTTTAAACTTCCAAGACTTTAAAGTATTTGTGTCTCCTTGTAGGCACTCCTAGGTATGTCAAACATCACCCATGACCAAGAATTTATCAATTTGTATTTTTCATTTATTTTCTCAGAGAAGCATGACTACATCAAAATTGCCCTTTGTATCAGAAAAAGGATACAAAACGTATGTTGCAAAATAAGCCACTAACACTTGAACGTAAAATGTGTCCTTGTATTTGGACAAGACTTTTCCCAAGGCCTTTGCATCATCCATATCTCTAGGAACCTTTATACATTCTCTTTCTTCCCTGGAGAGGAAATAAAAAAAAAGGAGGAATGATGGAAATCTAATCAAACAGCATAGTACAATTACTTACTGAATACAAAGATAATTAGATACACTACATCACTAAATTACAGCTTCAGCAAACAAACCATGATTATTGTTGTAATAATGTTTCCAGATGAGCACCTAATTTTTACTTTGCGGTTTATATAAGAAAATCTCCAATTTTAGATATTTGTTACCTTTTCTTTTCTATTCAGTATAATAATGTGCTTCTTTTCCGGGATTTTTTTTTCTTACAAAGTACTGATCAAAAAGAAATAGTTACACAAACCAAACATTGGCAAGTGAAAGTAGCCAACATTTCAGCCAAAACCAACAGCAGCTGCCTCAGTGCYGGGGTCGTAACAGTTGAAGTGCAGCAGGAGTGTCACAATTTCACCTCACAAACAAATAAAGATCTAAAAGCAAAAATTTCATGTCACATCTTAATCTGGTGYAATCCTGGGTAGCACACTTAAGTGCCTTTGCTTCCTCTGTATCAGACTTAGGGACTGGGCTGTTGCAAACTGAACTTGTTGAGCAAGTTAATAAGACAGAAAATTAACTACTAAAAGGGAAAAGAAAGCTGTCAGACAAGCAGGCCTTCACCTGTCAGCCTACCTACCTTTCCAACACAAGTACCGTGTGCAACAAAAAGGAAAAAAGGAGAAGGTAAAGCTTAGCTAGGAAGGAAGAGGCATTTCCCCTTTTGGTGAGAGACTCCAGTTTTACCAATGCATAAGGAACTTTAAACTGAACCCAGTCTTAACTCTGGCTCTCACTTGAGGCAAAGGTCAGTTACCACTGATAATGTGCCAGGGGATAACACCTCAAAACAGGGGATCTCAACTGTGCAACAAAAACCTCAGATCAAGAATGTGTCATACGCCCATGCGGGCTCCTCTACAATCTGATACTGAAAAGTAAATAAATGGATAAATTAATCTTTCATAACATACTTACTCACTAAGTTGTGGGAAATTTTTATATACCAGGAACATAAGAAAAGCAGCTGATAAGAAGATGGACACTAAAATAAGAAGTGATGTCCGAGCTGATCCACCTTCTGCAAGAGCTTTCCCTGAAATTAAACATGAAGTCAGAAAAAAAACCAGCACTACCAAAACAAAACATCAATAACCAATCACTCACAACTGACAGCAGATTTCAAACTTATTCTTTAAGGGAATATTAAAGTAAACCTTCATCCTCTTCTCACCAATGCTTTCAGTAACATACATTGATCAAATTCCATGAAAACTTTCAAACAGCTTTGAAGTTTTTATACTGGCAAGGATCCCACAGAAGTCAACCTCTATCATCCATGATAATTTAAACCTCAATTAATAAACACTTCTGTAAAGAGAAAAAACTAAGCTAAATGGCCAAAACCATACCATGGCCAAACCATAACTTTATCGGTCTTCCTCTACACCACAAATTTTCTGCCAGTCTAATTAACKAGGAATTTAGCTTCAAGTTAAATTTCCAGGATGTACAACACAACTTTGAAACCTGCTCATTAAGAGATTTGGGTTTTTTTTTCCCCTCTAATGAAAGACTACCAGACACAGCCAGTTAGGTGAGACACACTCATCAGAAGGAAACATGTAAACACACGCACGCGCGCGCACACACACACACTAGCCTGGGATATAAAGACCAATATTCCTAGACTTGGGAATTATACTTATTTTACACTCATGTGGATATGTATATGTAAGTGCTTATTGACCTTTGAATTCTTGTGTAGTGGAAGCAATGGGAGTACTGTAAGAAACACAACATTTTAGGCCTCTTCTGTATTTTAGGTTTTTATCAAAATGACCASATGCATGCAATACACTGATTAACACAAATGCAGCTACACGCATTAAGAATTTAAAACGAAAATGAATACCAAGTACTCTCTGCAGACACATTGGGGTGTGTATGTGAGCATGGACTAAACCCGTCTCAGGCACTCTGAGGCTCACCCAGCTTCAACCCCAGGGGCATCTGAAGAGCCGAGGCTSTGTTTTCCCTCGCAGATGCTACTGGCACAACTACAATGCCAACACACAACACTCAAGCGGGTCACGCTGACACCTCAMTGCTGTGAAATGCAGCGACAGGATGACGAAACCCACGGAGCCGGCTGGGCGAGCTGGTAATTTTATCGGCTTTAAGGTCTTTTAGGTTTAAGGTCAGCGCAACCCCACAGGTGCGTACTGGGTCAGCCGAGGCCAAAGGCAGCATCCACAAAGCATTTACAACCACAGAATCACAGAACGGTCAGGCTGGAAGTGACCACAGTGGTCATCTGGTCCAATCTCCCTGCTCAAGCAGGATCATCCCAGAGCTCGTGGAACAGGACCGCATCCACACGGTTCTTGAGCKTCAGGGAGAATCCACACCCTCTCTAGGCAATCTGTTTCAGTGCCCTGTAAACTGGTTATTCTGACACCTTCTCTAAGAAGTACAATAAATGATAAATAAATAAATAAGCAAGTTATAGGGCGAAAAAAAAAAAAAACCCCACAGCCCACTGCGCTTTCTGCCGCCACTTTCTGTACTTCAGCCGTGCGGCAGTGGAATAACAAAAACACACGCGCACACAGAGACATGAAACCATGCGTGTTCCCTCGTGCAGGGGAGAAGGGAAAGGGGTCGGTGCCCCATTTCGGCGCCCGCAGCGCGGGAGCCGCCTCATCCCACACGTACCGTGAGGGGCCCGGCCTGGCCGTCCCAGAGCCCGTTCGGGACCGGGTCGGTGCTCGAGGCGCCGAAAGGAACCGACAGACCTCCCCCCGGGCACCGACACTCGCATCGGGCACCGTCCGATGCGGGGGCGAGGTCACCCCGCTCCCGCCGCCCCGAACCCCTAGCACCTTCCAGAAGCTGCCGCTGGTGCCTGGCACTTTCCGCCGTCGCCGCCGCCTGGCAAGGCCCGCGTTCCGCCGACCTTCGATGCGCCATGGCTCCGCGACGACCCGGGGCCCGGCGAATCAGGGCCGGCACAGGCCTCGGCGGCACCGGGTGCCGCGGGGAGCAAAAGGCGGGACGGGCGGCACCCTGAGCCGCGGGCAGGAGGAGGAGAAGAAAGAGGCGGGACCGGCTGCTCCTCCTCTCCTCACCCCACCGGGTCGCGGCCGCGCTACCGCCCCCGCCGCAYAGCGCATGCGCTTTTCTCGGCATTACAGCTTTGCTGTGGTATACGGGAGCACGTGTTGAGCTCCACGTCCTTGAAATGGGAAGGCGGGTTAGTGGCAGTAAATACGGTAACACCGCCTGCTGGGCGTACCCTTGTGGGTATATACGGTAACGAGGTTGCGCTCATTAGGGGTAAATATGGGGCGGTGGTGTCCCGGCCCGGCTGCAGAGAAACCACGTTAATCACAGATTCACAGAATCAATTAGTTTGGGGAAGACGTCTGAGATCATCGAGTCCAACCTATGACCGAACACCACCTTGTCAACTAGACCATGGCCACGTCCACTGAGTGCCACGTCCGGTCGTTCCGTGAACAACCTCTAGGGACGGAGAATGCACCACCTGCCTGGGCAGTCTGTTCCAATGTCTAATCACCTCTTCTGTGAAGAAATTCCTTCTGATATCCAACCTGAACCTCCCCTGTCACACGAGGCTAAACCCCCAGCTCTCTCAGCCGTTCCTCACGGGACTTGAGCTCCAGACCTTTCCCTGGCTTCGTTTCCCTTCTCTGGTCACACTCCAGTGCCGATCATGCCACAGAGCGCGGGGATAAAACCCATCTGCGAGCCATTTTCACTCGGTAATGGTTTCACACCGGTGAAGGGAGCGGGATCTCCCCTCACGGAGCGAGCGGGAGGCGGGAGCCCCTCGGCGCTTATGGCTGTGGCGCTGGAACAGTGCCAGACTTTCAAGAAAAGGGGAACTTTGTTGGATTCTCCCAGGTGGGCATTTAGTTTTTGTTAGTTTGTTCCTGTCTTTCGAAAAGAAAGCTTATTTCCCGAGAAGAGGGAAAACTCTAGCAGTCTTGGGATTTTCCTCACATCGCTTTCTGTCAGTAAGAAGGCTCGAAATCCTGCAGAAAAGCCAGCCGGGCATGTCTCAGTGTTCGCAGATTCCTTGGCGTTCAAGCTGAATGTGACCTCGAAGCACCTTTTCCTCGGGCAGTCTTCTGGCAGCAGGAGATCTCTGAACTTTCCAAGCGCCCGGGCAGCACAGAGCGTTACAGGGAGAGTTCTCCAGGGAGAACACTGGAATCCTGCGGTCAACACATATTGCATAATGGGCTGAGCTGAGGGAGGTACGGTGACACCCCCTCGTCCCTTTTCCAGCTGTGTCTGCTTATAAATGTCAACCCTTCCTCTGCATCTTCCACAAAGGAAGCTCTCGTGGGAGAGCTGGACACTCAGATTTAACTTCAGCCTCGATTTTCTGATTACTCCTCCTTTATATCATGACTAAACAGCTCTTAAAATTGCTCATACAGGATCCACAGATCCTTATTTCACAGCGGTGGCATTTACAGATTGTGTTTCCCGAGATCACAGATATTTCCAAAGCAGTGAGGAAGATGTGGGTCAGCACACAGCAGAGCTCTTAAAAGCGTGTCTTTATTGCTACGTGTACAAAACTCGCTGGCGTTACACTGCAAATGTCTACAGGAAGTTGATGATTCATTGAGGATCTAGTCTAAAATGCTATTACACAAGAACAGCCTCTGCCAAATCCATTGGCAGGAAATAATTCAAACTATAAATTGTGGCCAGATTCCACATAAAGCTTTAACTCATGAGCAGACTCCTTGTGAAGCTATAATTTACTCCGAATTTATTTCTTTTAGAATCAAATTCTTTAAAATTATTTCATTAAATCATATAATTAGCTCTTTTAATATTTGCAATTGATAATTGAGGAATTTAGTACCATGAGAAGCTGGTCAGGCCTATGAACTTGCTGCTCTGGGCATTGATGCCAGATGAGGGAGTCCTTTGTTTTTTCACAACCTTTCACTAGAAAATTGTACATACTAGCAAAATGGGAATTGCTGATGCTGTAGAAAACAGATTTTCCCCTACTGTAAATTCATGTCATGTTTGTCATATTTTTTTGATATTGCTTCTGATCCTCCAGGTAAAATGATTCAAACATTGGGACTTCTTTCTTGTCTGACTAACTTCTGACAAAGCATCAAATAGATACTAAACTGAAGAACATTGGAAGCAAAAGTGGAAACCAGATTATTATGCATGGAAATCTTTACAAAGTCGTCCTGAAACCGAGGAGAAGGATGCATACTGAATGACATAAATAAAGTAAGTACAACAATTTAAAAGCTGTAGATTCTAAATGCTGCAAGGACTATCTCTCATTTTGGTGAGGTGGATTGTTCAGTGGGGTATGAATCCCAGTTTGGTGTGGTTGTTGTTCACTAGCCACATAGAGACAAGGAGTCCAGGTAGAACCTGCTCCAGGGGATTTCTGATTTCTCATTAACCTGCTCTATATTGTGTAGCCCCTCTGTGTAATCCAAATGCAGGTAAACTGACACACAGGTCAAGCAACTTCTGATTCTTGCTGAATACCCTGCAGTTAGCCTGTCCAAGACACCACTGTAAAATGCCCAACAAGCAATTTCAACAATACAGATTTGCTCCATGTTTCCCCTTCCATTTAGTAGAAAGCACATGGCCTGCAGATGATTCCCAGCATGCTGATTCTGCAGAAAGCTCACAGTGTTAGTATAAGCCTCATTAGAAATAGAGATGATAACTTGAATCACTGTTACAGAACTCCAGCACTCTGAATTGCTGCCAGAGGGAAATTTAAGGATTCATTAACTAGATCACTTTGCAGTTGTTATATATTGCACAAATTATATTTGTTAGACTGGATTATCAGCAGACCCTTAGACTGTTCTTCGCTGTTCTTGGTTCTCGTTGCTGGGGGCAGGGATACTGCTGGTGCGAATATGTTTTCTATTTTACTAAACTTTGAAACTGTCAGTGAAGTTTAATATGTACTGATAATTTGAATAGTCCCCTGCAAAGATGTCCACACCTAACAAATACCATCAGAACCTCCACATTCACTGTGGAGAAAAGACATGGGGAAGTCTGGGGAATRTTTCTTAGGGCTCACTCTGTAAATAAAATAGTTCAGGAACACTATTTAGAAGACTAACTTAGATTTATTTATTGGAAAGAAGGCAAAGAATGGAAAATACTGCCACAGGCCACATCCCATAAGTGTTTAGAGGAAAAAGAGTTTCAGCAACTTGAATTCAGTATCAAGGAAATTTTGGACACATGGTGGAGATCAGCTCAGCCGGGAACAGCTTCATCCACAGCTCAGTGGGAACAATAACGGTGGGCTGAAAATAGATTTAGTCTCATCATGTATCAAGTATCCCCTAAATATAATGTATAACTTAAGAAATGGCATAAAACCTGCCATGTTTTTGGAGCATCTTTCTAAGCCTCACCTGATAGGGAACACATGCTAAAAAATGCTTTGTTCGGCAGAGGAATGAGAGAAGTGGTCCAGTTTCCAGTTGGAGTTTGCTCAGTGACTTTACCAGTGGGAGCAGCACTCTCTGCACTTAGAGGCTAGAGACTAAATCAGCGTAATATGAAATGGTTTTTGGAAAATGTCCCTTATGCTCAGAGTGTGAGTTCTTTCAAATTATCTGTAACCAAAAAGCAAAATGTTTTTCTGACCTGCTGGGAAGTAACAGAACAGACTCACATCTACCAGAGCAGCAGCTAAGTGGTCAGCTCCATGAAGTTACTTCCTTTGGTGGGTGGCTGAATGAAATGTTTTATTTTTGTTAGATTGAAAGAGCTGTCTTCCCTCAGCAAAAAAACTTGTATTTGCCTCTTATCTAAATCTCTCCCAGATGGACTGATAAAGCCCATGTCACATGGCTGAGTCACTGACATTGATGATGCTTTGTGGATGGAGTCATGCCAATTGTCAGCAAGAGGAAGGAGAATGAGAGACTGAAGTGATCCTGTTCCTGAGCGCTTCTAGCTGAAAATGTTAAAAACCAGGAACGTTAATCAACAAGTAAATAATACATATAATTTCTTGAGGAGAAGTGTAGATTTAGATCCCTTTTCTCTGCCTTCCCCTCTTATTGTCTAGCTTCTGACCACCAAAAGCACACTGCATTGTTTTAACTTTTAAATTTTGTAAAAATATAGCAAGAAATTAAACCTCAAACATTTATTGTCATTCTATCTAAATTCTAATTTAAACCAGATAAACCTGTGTACTTGGAATGGGGCTTGTGTGTGTTTACTGAGCTTGTACTTTCATTAGTTGGGGTGATGTAGTTTGAGGATGTAACTGGGGAGTAACCATCTTCACAGGAGACATCTTTGGGTGGAATGCGAATTCACTGATCAAAATTAATAGAAGAATGTGACCAACAAGTGAGATTAATGAAAATAAGCACCTATTTGTAGCTGTTTGTGTGAATGAAGGATTAGAAATTTCTGGGAGCCCAGGGAAGAGTTAATGAACGCTTTTATTTATAAAAGTCAGTGCTCAAGGACAGAAGCTGAAAAATTTCTAAACAGCAAGTGAGAGCAGAACTTGTAAGCATTAAAATGAGTTGAATCTGAACTCAGGGATAATAAGTATTCAGATTTGTTTCTCTCCCGTTATTTTTTTATAGCAGGTATGTTTCTGAACTCCTATTATCCATTTTATGTACAGTTGTATATTTTGGGTACATCCCGCACACGTGTACAGACAATACACTTTACACAGATTTATGTACAAATGTACAAAGTGCAGATTTTTACTAGTGTGTACCTATTTTAATTAATGCTTAATTACTTAGAAACACAGAGAAATCAATAGCTATGAAGTTTCTATTGCAAATGGTAAAAATAAGAGATAGATTCTCAATTCTGATGAACCTCTCGTTCCTAATTAATAGTTAATAAATCCCCTTTAATAGCCAGCCTTTTTTTTTTTTTTTCTTCCTATTGCATGTGTCAGTGGTGTGCACCAAATGGGGAAAGAAACTTTTCTGGTTAGTCTGCTCATATCCTCTATTTGAATGCAATAAAAAGAGGAATTAAAGGTTATTTTGTCTTCCTGCAAGTTAGGAGTGAAACATACACTGTAAAAAACTTATGCCACCCCAACTGAAGGATATGAAAGCTCCATCAGGTTCCTTAAAAGTAGTTCCAACCTTTGGAGGCCGTACTTCTGAGACTATTTTTTTCCCACTCTTGGAAAGCACTTCTTCTGAAAGTCAAGCCTCTTATTAAAAATACTGATAACAGAGGGAGTTCTAATCACAGTACAAGGAACCTCAGGTCTCAGACACATTTTAATTTCTCTTTAGATACTGTTACAGATTCTGCCTCTACAAATCTGGAATTGATGTTTCAGCTCAGTTAAACCAAAGGTTGTTGGTGTGGAGAACCAGCTTCAGGCCACCTCCCAGTGTTGAACACACAGTGGGGTGTGTAGCTTTGACAGTGTCTAATCTGCTGAAATAATGACAGAAATTAATGCTGCAGAGTGCAATCAATATTTTTATTAGGCTGCTTTTTCTACTATCCTCAAAAAGGCCCAAGTGGAATCACCTGCTGRAACTCATCAAGACTGGAATGATCTCCTCTTGCTGCCAGGTTCTTAAAAAGTACACAAGGCGTCTGGTGATTTTAACTAGCTACTGACATTTTATATCTGCGTTTTGTTTGTTGGCTGTAGGCAGGTTAAGCAGATTGCACTCTCATCAAGAAAGTTTCCTTTTATTTTGATTTGCTCTGATTTGAGGTCCTACCTCTGTCTCCTAATGTTAAGAAAGAAGGTCGATGCGAAAAATGTGTTTATAAAAGAATAGTTGAAAAGAACTAGTTGAAAAGATGCAAAGCAGAGACTAAACACTGTGAAAGGTTAAAAATGAAAAGGTGAGATCTGAACAGTTCAGATTCTTCATTTATTCGACAGGCCTTGGAATGTGGTCTTTCCACAACATTCCACTTAGCTACCTGAACTGGGTTTTCAGCTGAAATGTCAAGCAGCCAATTGCCTGAAGGTATTGCAGAGTCTAGTGTCTAATTACCCATGACCATGTCCTGCTCTGAGTGCAATTGCAACCATTCTTTGGCGTAGAGTGGATGCATTTGGCTTGGAAAAGGAGGTACAGATCACCAGTAAAGGCACGCAGTTTTAAGGAACAGAACAATAAAATTAACACTTGCTTCAGTTTTATTAATTACCTAAATAACAGAATGCCCTTAAGGAATGTTATGGTAGCCAGGCCCAGCAAAGGAGAAACGATAAAGACAAAGCTTTTTAGAAACATAAAATATCTGACTTCTGACCTCAGCTTCTCTGAAATTCCAGCTCAGAATATCTCAATGTAGCCCTGGGTCATGTGACAGACATTGTGTTCCTGGGGTTTTCTCTTCCAGGAATATATTTCTCTCTTACCTAGGTAACATGGTAAATAACGTTACGTCATCGAACTAGGGGAACACATTCTGGTCTGATAGCAGGAGCAGCCTGCTTCATGAGACACAAGACCTTACACACTTACTGGGTAGTGCCATCAGTGACAGGGGCCATTGGTTTAATCAACCTTCTTTCAAAATTAACAGTTTGAAGTTCTGCTGATTTTACTGTTGATTCTGAATCTCTTATCATCAATGTACCCAAAACCATAGCAACTGGATCGTCCAAGCCATTCACTGCTTGTGCTTACAGAGAAAGTTGCTTTCATTGCCAAGGAGGATCATTTCATTTGATTGAAAATTTCTTCTATCTTAAAGGAGCAGAAGAGGAAAAAATTAGGATCTTTGAAAGTGCAGATCAGGCAAAGATTTGGGAAAAAATTTACATAGTAATCAGACATTTGGTTCAGGAAGAAAATGTGGAAAAATTCTGATGGGGAAAGGAAGATGGAGAAATATGTTCAGGGGACTGTGAAACAGGTTAGAGAAGAAAGCAGAATGGGGAAAAATGAAAAGTAAGAAAACTCTGTATTACTTTAAAAAAAAGCAAAACTTCCAGAGTAAAACTTCAGAACTTCCAAATATTTCCCATATTGTAAGAGCTCCCTGCAACCTTCGAATRAATTGCATGAATTGCATTTGAGACCAGAAGAGAAAAAGCTTTTTCCTGTTATGATGTATTTCACAATTCACAATTTAAGAATGCATGATCTAATCAGAATACATGTAAATGTCATGCTGTATTTTCTCCTAGACTGCTTTTTCTGTGAGACATTAAATGTCTGCAGTGAGAGTGCTCAGTGTTTTTCCTGATCTGGCCTCTAAGGTCTAAGTTCTTGCAGAAAACAACCATAAAGAGCAGGCAAATAACAAGTTCACAAGGAACAAACCTTTCACCCTTGCTATATATAACCACACCCATAGTTAGTTTTTAAGAAATATATTCAGGTGACTATTAAACCAGTAGCCTGCAATGAAAAATAATAAAAAATCAGAGCAAAATCAGAAGGGTCAAAATGTGATTTAATTGAACCATTTCAGAGAAGCTGCCAACATGCTGAGAAATTATTTGCTGAATGTGTATTCCTATGGGAAATCACTGAATTAATTGAAAAGCTTTGATATGGCTAATAGCACTTACTATCATAATAAATGAGCATCACAAAGTCAGTTGTTAATCAGGATTAGAGATTAAATGGGGGTGGTCTGATAAGAATAGACTCTTTTCACCTTAGGCAGTTACGTGAAGGAAAGTTCTTCATTTCAATTTTGAACATTATGCTTTTGGTCCTAGACAAGTTTCCTGTCAGATACCTTGGCTGAATGCAGAAATCCACTTCTACAAATATCTATAAGGAAATTGCATGTTTTCTACTGCATGTAATACTAGTTCCCTTTTGCCTATGGACAGACCACAGGATCAACTTTTTGGCCTGTTCCCTGCAACAAAATTGGCTAAAACCAGTGACTGCAGAAAAGTGTCAGGTGCTTGTGTAAGACATTATTAATTAATATGGTGTAATAATTTCTGAATAAGACTAGCACAAGAGAAAATAAAAGGAATCTACAGGAAGACTGATAAGTGGTTTTATAAGAACTACCAGAAGCTGGTGTGCCATTATTCTGTAGAAATCCTGATTTTTGTAGCTGAACCAACATTTTTGCTATTTTGTGTGGAGTTACTTACTCTACTGGCAATACAGTATTATCCAAATGCTTTAATAAACATTAACCTTGATTTAGCTGTAGCAATTAATTATTTTATCTTGTCAACTTGGCAGAAACATGAATGGAAATACATTTCACATTCCAAAGTAAGGAATCCTTTCTGCTCAGAAAAGGCCAGGAGTGGAACAGCATAATGCTGGCAAGCAGGAGCCAAGGATTATGAGGAGTGCCCAGAGGAAGCTGACACAGCTCCTTGCTGTCCTGAGAATATGAAGCTGACCTGCATGCATCATTCATGTGCCTTCCAAAGGTGAAATGAGGGGCAAATATTTTTCACCTCGTTACTTCACAAAACACCTGGAAAAGGTACATAGTCTTGTTCAGATAAAGACATGGGCACTGACAATATGTTTCTCATGTTTCCTGCCTTGCCTTGCCGTTGCAGATACTGGAATTTTAATCTAGCTGTTGGCTACCAAGAGTGTGGAAGCAACAGGAGTGTGAATTTGTGAGCAGCTACTCCTGTTGTTCCACCTATTGCTCTACATAAACAATTAGTGGTGCACCCACAGTCACCAGGAAACACAGACATGCATGCACAGCTAAAGTGGAGTAAAATCAATTTCATTGCTTGTTTTCGTATCTGTATTTCTTTGGCAATTTACATATGGGTCAGAGTAAGTCCTATGTTTACACTTCACAGCATTATAACTGCTTTTGTTAAATTAGAAAATACTATTTAGTATTTAAAATGGTATAAGCAAATAGAAAACATATTAATCCCATTCATACAGCAATATGGAACTGTAAAAATTTCAAAGGAATAAAAACTGTGAGTCTCCCAATAAAAATGCTGATCAGATAACATCCAAAATACAGTAAAAGAAGTAAATTAAGGTAATTTGGTCTTACAAGAAAAGTGTTTTTAATACACTCAAATTCTGTTATTTATCTTTGCTTTATCTAGGATATCTCCATCTTTTTCAACTTTAATTTTAGGGGCTTTGACTCTTTTAACATAAGCAGCTATCTAAGATTTATGATTCATAAAACCATTTCTAATAGCAAAGTAATTTCATAAAAAAGGTAATTCTATGAAATGTTATTTATTTTAAAAGTATGTATAAAAAGTTGTGATCACTTAGTGAATCAGGAATCAAAGAGAAAAGCATGTTTCTTTTAATACTTGTAAGTAAACTTGCCAGTCTATTTGCTGCTCACAAACTCTTTATCTCATCTCAGTTTTCCTTCCAGTCATCTGTGAGCACTTCCTTGTGTGCCCCTGAGTCTTTCTTTGATGCCTGCCTTTATTAAGCTTCCTCTTGAGCAGAGAATTTACCCAACAACAGGAGGTCTCTCTTTGCAGCCAGATCCAAGAAACGCACTTGGCTCTGTAGTTTCAATTCTTCACCTGCCCTMTTCTGCTTCCACAGTTGTGATTACCTCATCTGTATATTCTGTAAAGCAACCAAAGTGATTTTACATTTTTCCTGCATAAAAAATTTCTTTTCTATATACCTGCTTCCCCTGTATTATGCCAAAATGTAGTAACTTTACCATCCGAGTACTTTGCTTTGTCTCCTCAAGTTTAGAAAGGACAGAGGGAAAGGCAGATGASAAAAGATGGGAAACTAAGAAAAGGAATAATGTACCATGCCAGCAAAACCAAAATGTATTTTCCTTTTTATAACAAAWCTGTAATAAATCCCAAATGTACAAATAAGACTATGGTCATCACTAGACTGTGGTCATCATATTTACTGATCTGAAATGCTTCACAGGCTTCTGAAGAGCCATGGTGGCACACTTCTCAAACACAGGTGTGTCCTGGAGGGAACTGCCTGGAGTTGTGTGGACTGGAATGAGCTCACAGACTGAATGCTGTGTTACCATATCACTGAAATTCTTACTGTGTGTATGGAGTTCCTTGCAAAGGTAAAGCTCTCCCTAAGTGGTGACAATTTTTTCTGCGAGAATTTTTAATCTAATAAAACCCTAATCCTGTTCTATTGTACTCATTGTTATTTAATCAATCTAAATCGAAACAGGATAGGATTATAAAGACTAAAATAGTTCTAAAAGGGACTAACTTGAACTCTCAGTCTTATTAAATAGAGTGAAATATTATAGTTTTATAAAGGTACATACAGATTGTATAAACCTCATCTGCACAAATATTTAGTTATACAACTGCACACATATTTAGGTATCCAACTAAAGTTATAGCTTAAAAACACCTTTTTACTCTTCTGAAATTTTAATTTTTTTTTTCCTAACTTGAGTATTTCCACAACTCTTTCTGAACAATGCCAGTTTATTGTTGCATTTTGGTTGTAATAACTTCATTAGAAACCTTGTGTTTTAAGAATCAGTATCTGCTTGAACATTATTAAATCACAGATACTACACCCCTTTAAATCATAGATACTACACCCCTTATACTTAAATTTTCTTTAAATGTGCTTCCTCAAAATGTGAAGTCAGCATTACATTTGATTCATAGCTGTCCATTTGAGGAACAATCATGAAAAATAAGCTTGGGGTCCTATTTAAGGAACAGTAAGGAAAGGACATACTTGTTTCCTTGCAAAAATAAAATAAACCAACTCCCATAATGCATATGATGAGATATTCTTCGAGAACTCTGTGATCACAGGCATTATTCTCAGGTCACATTATAATTCTGTGATCCTCAGTACGAGTTTTAATTTCACAATAGTATAACCCATTCCACTGATGCCTTTGTAACTTCTGTGCTTGTGCAACTGAATCAAAATTGTGAAAAGAGCATGAACTGTGAGTGTCATCTTAGTGCCAAATACCAGCAACTGTCTCCTACTTATCTCTCCAGGGTGCCACCAATCCACCGTTCTGCAGCTGTGTAAGTGGCATTTTCCCTCAGGGCCATGAAATATAAATATACAGGGTGGAAAAGAGCAAGAGGGAGGAGGAGGAGGGGAGACTGCCCTAGGTTACAGACACTCTTGCTCCACTGTCTGTCGCACAGGGCCTGGAGCAGGTTATGGGCTGGATTCGTTGGACTTCCACACAGTGCAAACTGAGCCTTCAGGAGCATGTAGAGTTACCCGAAAGCAAACAGCAAAACCCAAAACACTGTGCAGTTCATCATCACATTATCTAGTCCAACACCCTGTGTAAACTGGCAGTTCAAGTTTTATGCACGTGTTTTATTAAAACATTAATCTTGTTGGTTTGACTGAAGCACAGCCTATGTTTTCCCTAAAACATATCTTCCAGAACTGCATCCCATCTCACTTGGAAGAAAGAAAGTACCAATTAGTGTCACTGAGAATTTTTTTTCAGTKACTCTCTAGTTTCACCTGTTAGACATTTGCTCCACTCACAACTTCACTAAAGAGCTGTTCAGTAACCACTATTGTCTTTTTGATCTGTCTCTTTCTCCTTGCCTAGCTGTTCAGAGTTAACTGATAAAAGTAAGAATTGACAAGGGAGTCCTGCATCTTTGAAGAGATGTTTATTGAGATATCCAGTTTTTCTGATTTCAGAAGAATCATACATCAGATTTTTGTATTTCCTGGTTTTGTTTGTTTGCCTATTGGCCTGTTTTTAATTTTTTCATTAAACCATTGGTCTAAAAGCCCTAAAAAAGCTCTAAGAATGCTTTATCTCTTTGGCATTTACTTGACCTTAATATCCTTGGCTCTATTACAGCAACTGTTGCTGCTTCATCTCAGCATTGCTACTCCTGCTGTTCCACTTGCAGACACTTCCACCAGCTAATGGACAAACCTTGTTTTCAGCATTTGTCCCCAGGGAAACCTGTTTGGATAGGGGGTTTAGCATCTGCTCAAGCCTTGCCATCTGGCTGGATGGCCGTGGGGATGGATCCTGCTTTTTTTTGGCAGGGTAAAGTCACTATTGAGCTCAYAAAGGAGCATAGAGCCTTCCATACTCAATGAAATTCTGAAAAAATTTCAGCGAAGTTCTCCTTAGGGATGAAGCCAACACCCAGCTGACTAAAGGGGATTAAAGGGAGCTGTGAAATCATGGGGTGGACAGGCTGTGGCATCCTGCTCCCTTGTCTAGAGCCAGCTCAAAAGCTGGTACTGCTCTTATACTGCCTGCTAAATCTCTGCTTCACCTCAGCGTGATAGTAGTGACATACAGAAACCAAGACTCCTTACAACTTTTCTTTTAAATCTAACGGACATTTCAAGTAGGTCTTGCACAGATGAAGAGAATAAACTCTTCATCTATAATAACTTTTGGGGGTATTTTGTGCATTGCAATTTATAAATACTTAAAAACCACAAATAGCGCTGTTATTCTCCAGCAATGGAACAGCTGTCTCTCCCCATCAGAGGGAGGGACAAACCACTGCTCCACTCTTCAGACCTCTGTTTTCAACTCAAAGACTGTGACAAATCTTTTGCCATAATGTCCTGCTGGGAGCTCATGCTGACCTGCACGCCCATGGTATCCCTGATGATCCTTCCATCTTTTGTTTTCTGTTCTTAAATCTGTAACTTCTTATTTGGCTGTGTTAAAGTGTATTTCTGTTTCTTTTTCATGTTACCCTCTTGTCTCATCCACATAGGATTGTTTTGCTAATCGTGTATTAACCTCATAATGATTTGCGGTGATTTTTATATTTATTTCAAAACTGCCTGAAGTGTAAAATAGAGTCTGATAGTGGTATCAGTAGAAATCCAATAGAATTGGCCCCTTAAATAATCGGTCTTCACTTATCACCTTTTTTACTGAGAATTGAAATTTAGCCAGTTCTCAATCCCTTCAGTGTGTGCTCAGGGTCATAAGTCAGTATGATATAGTAAAACAAATAAAGGTATTCTGCACCATTTTGCCAGCCAATGTAGAGAACTCAAACAATCACTTTTGTTTGATGATTTTATGCCAAAATATATCGACTGTCGTATTTCATTTTGTGGTTTCATATTTGAATCCCATTTTAGCTTTTTAAAAAGATTAATATAAATAGTTATTAGCAAACTTTGCAAATCAGCACAGTATTTCTGTGCATATCTTTTTCTTCCCGTTACCATCTTTGATTTAGCAGATGTAGCTCCAGGATAACTTTGGGTGCTGGTGATTCATCCACTCACTCCCATCCAAACTCCCTTTGGATCTATAGGACTGGTTAGGTATCTTTGTGTGCAAATATTTTTTTCCTAATCCTGGGCTGATATTTTTAATGCTATTGATGCAGGAATACACTCTGCATAGCTGGAGTAAGTTGGCTGCTGTCAAATCTGTTTCAGCACAGAACAGCTCATAGCAGCATTTACCAGTTACTGTCTTTGGGCTTTTTTTTTTTTTTTTTTTAATGTGTAGATGGCATAAAAAATTGTGCACAATTCTTTAGCAACATCTGGTGAAAGCACCCAGACTTGGTGATCTTTGATAGCTGTGCTCCCTTTATGTATAATATCTGGCTTTTCACTGACAGTAGAGAGAATGGTACCCCAGAAAGGCACATAGTCTAAGTAGTGCTCCACAGTCAGCTGCAAGGAGCGTATTACTTCATTAGAGCTGGCAAATATTGTCCCAGCTTTCCAGGGAAAGCACACATGACTGCTAACTCCAAGACAGACAGTCTATGAGAGCATGTTTATCTTCAGGGGTAATTGAGACAGATTTGCATCCAATGTTTGAGGCCTGTGCAATACCACATCTGCCCTTTCTGAGACAATTTGAGAGGCTCTGTTCTTCCACAGCAGCCTGAGGTTGTCTAGAAGCATTCCTACACAGCAAAGAACAGTACTGGGCAGCTAATCCCTGCAGCACGTAATTTTTTTTTTCTGTTCTGAGACCAAGAATTTGATGAAGTTCATCTGGCTAAAGAACATACTTCTCTCCAAGTTAACTCTTGTGATTTGAAATTTGACTTCAAAATTAAATTTTGCCAACAACTCATCTGTTGCATCTGGCAAGATATTTATTCATGTTCCCTTTGTTTGCTAAACAGGTTTGGCCAAAGTCCTCACTAATTGCTGTGCTGTGATGAGCTTAMTTGCTGTGCTGGGTGAGCTTAAAGTCCCTTTTGTCCCTCTAATACTGTTCAAAGAAAGTATCTGGTGGAAATGGTTATATTTATTTAATCCTGACAAAATTTCAGCGTTAAAGATGCCACAGCTCACCACTCCCTTGCACGTTGAGGTCAGCTGCCCTCTATTAGGTTGCTCTACTCAAACTGCCGGTGTGTCAGTTTTCTTCCATCTTTACTATTTCATCTCTCTCTAACACTGAACTACCCACAGCACATGTAATCCACCAACAAATTGTTCAGGTTTGTGAAAAATTCTTTTTTTACCTCATGGATGCTGCTTCTTAAATTTGGCTTCCTGTCAACGTGAAATGTCCATCCTGATTGAATCCTGCATTTATTGTTTTCTGTGAGTCATTTATGCAATTAATCCTGCTGTGAACTTAGCTATTGTTATTACTTCTGGGCAAGCAAAGATGCAAACACAAACGTCCTTGGCAATGCAAACATTTCTGACATACAAGCTTTTCTTTTTCAGAGTACTCAGGCTGGACAATTGCTTACACAACTTTTTTTTGTCCTCCTCACTTTTGTATCCAAACAGGGACAGCTCCGGCACAAACTTCTCTAGCCACAGCACCTTTGCTGACAACAGCTCACATCCCATTGTGCTTTTCTTTGAAGCATTTCACATCTGTACCTCTGACACAGAGCATTATGCACGACCAGCACATCACGAGATCGCTGTCCTTTGAAGCACTTATTTTTATTTTTAGAGAAGATATATTCTGTTTCATAAGTTGTTGGATCAGCTTAGCACTTACGTTCTTCCTGGCTGGAGGCATTATTGCTCTGCTCCTTTGATACAAAGGACATGGAGATTTGATCTAGTTATCTCTGGTGTGACACAAAAGCAGGGAAAAGGCTTTGTTATAGCATCTTGTAATAGTATTGAATCTACAGCATTTTTAATCTTTTTTTCCATTTTGGGTGTTTTTTGTTTGTTTTTGTTTTTGAGTTTTTTTTTCATTTTGGGCAACATCTAGAATTGGAGTATGACTGCAGATCTGGGCAACTTATAAAAGAATAGCATATGACATCATGTCCCAAAATTATGTCACATATCCACTTGGGTTATCTGGGCCCATATGTCTTCAGTGCTTACTTAGAAACATTCATCTTACTTAGACATTCATCGCTGCTTCACAGTTAAGTTTCATAAATTAGTTGCTCTTTTTCACACTTATAGTAAGAAAAAGCTACATAGTGTAAATCACAGTTTTTAGCATTATGTAGAAAAAAACAAAAAC